AGATGCTATGTGCGAGAGTGTGAGTGTGTGTGAGGATTTTTCTCAGCCGTCTATGACGAACGGTGGATGTGAGAAAAGGCCCCAAAGAAAATAAACTCGAATTATGCTACAATTATATCGATGATGTACGACGGCGACTACGACGACAGCGGCAATGAGGAAGATGACTTCAACGATGAACTTACGGCTAAAGAGAATACATATTTCATCTCTTAAAAAGAGAATAAAAAAGAGCATCTAAGAGAGCGAAAACCAATGTGCGCAAAACTTTCATCAATGCAATGAAAATGAATTTTCTCTACAGGATATGGATTTATTCTCTCCTCATTGCTAATAGTGATTTTTTTTGTACTTGCTGTTGTTGTTATTGGCTTGCTCTTGACTGTGATGCTGTTGTTGCCTGCCAGCCGGACTGCCTGCCTGCCTGCTACTGTAATTTGCTCCCGATTGTACGGCCTGCCTTTGTTGTTTCTGATTCTTGTGCTACTGGCCTAGTGCCATGAATTTGTTTGATTTTTGTGTTCCCTTCGTCTTCTCCTTGTATGAGTGTGTGTGTGTGCGTGAGTTTGGTTGTTGTTTTTGATATCGAAATTGAGCACAACTGGGAGAAAGGACATGCCAGAGTTGAAAAAGAAGAAAAAAAATACAAAGGAAATTGAAACTCTTGAATTTTGAACATTGTACTGCGCTACATGTAGATGAATGGTATACTCTGTTTATTGGGATTGTTAAAGACTTCTTTAGAATTTGTAGATTTAGATAAGTCTTTACGGAAATATTCAATATTGTTACACATTTAGGGACAATGCAATTCCGCCCCAATAAAATATAAGCTTCCTAATTATGGACATTTTGAAGGTCCTAAAAAAGTAATTTTGAGTAATTTGACACATTATTTTATCGCCAAATAATTATAAGAATTAAAGTCCCTAAAATTTGATCGGAGAATTACACAGAAATACGTTTTCTAAAACATAGCACTCCCTGAGAGAAACCGAGCTCTCACCCTGATTGCGATCTTTTTGCAAGTTGATACAAGAAAGTAACTGTCCTATGGCCAGTGCGGGTTGTGAAAAATTCCATTGTGGATCAAAACCCCAAATGGTTTCGGGTTCGTAGGCCAAATTTTTGAAGTCCCTTGTATGACCATAAAGAAGATATTGGGGACCCTATATCTTGAGATATATTTCGTTACATTTAATATGGAGCTTTGAAAAACTATAGAGTGCTATGAAGTACTTCAAGAATCAATAGGTAAAAGTTTAATTATGATGGTCAACACTTTGGGTATAATCCCAGTATAAAAGAAAAAAATCGACTGTGAGTATATTTTACGTTGTAGTCAATTTTTTTACTATATATACCCATATTATATTTTCGGAATAATAATAGGAAAATATTTAACTTTTACGCCAAGAAGTCTTCAAAATCTTTCGTTTTTAAGTTCAACAAGGAGGATATTAGTAGAACTATTGCACAATGGATCCACATTAAATTTTCCGGTTCAAAACTATTTCAATGTCTCCATATATAAACCCTAGAAACTATCAGTGACGAAATTTCAGAATTTCAGTTATATTTTTTCACCAAATACCAAATTTGGTAATATTTAGGACACATATCCATTTTAGACACCAAAAGACAACCAAAATTAGTACCATTTAGTACTTTTTGAACAATTATAGCAAGCATTTCCTAAACCACCAGCGCATCTCAACACTAACAGGGACCTCAATATCAAAATTCAGGATTCCAACTCTATAAATCCACCCACTTTAAACTACAATACTACACATTTCCATAAACCACCTCCTTCTCTCCAGCCTGGACACCAACAATAACCCAACCGTTTAGTACTTTTCGCACAATTATTGTACACATTTGCCAAACTACCTTAATATCTCTATCCCAGTTACCAACAGAGGCCTTCATATCAAATTTTGGGATTCCGGCTTTATCCCCTCACCAAATATCCAAATATTAGTACCACTTATCACTTTTCGAAAAAATATATAGTATACATTTCCAAAAACCACCTATATAACTTAACCAAAAATTCCAAACGTGGTATTTATATCAAATTTCAGGATTTCAGTTCGATTCCTTTACTTAATACTTTACTTTACTTTAGTACTTTTCGTACAATTATAGTACATTTTCCAAAACCACCTACATATCCCAATTCCTCATACCAAGTGAGAGCTCAATATTTAATTTGAGGATTTCAGCCCTATTCCTTCACCAGATACCAAAATTATGGTACACATTTTCTACATATCTCAAATCCACATACCAACAGATACCTCAATATCAAATTTGAAGATTCAAACCATATCTCTTCACCAGATAACAAATTTAGAACTATTTAGTGCTTTCTGTACAATTATGGTACACATTTTCAAAACCACCTACATATCTCAATTGCACATATTAACGGAGATCTCAATTTAAAACTTGAGAATACGAGCCATATACCTTAACCCAACACCCAACTTAGTACTATTTAGTACTTTTCGTACAATTAAAATACACATTTCCCAAGCTATCTCCATGTCACCAGGCTACACATGAACAACGAACCGATTTCAGATTTCAAGCACTATCTTTTGTACCAAATTGTACCAAATATAATTCTATTTAGTACTTTTCGTGAACTTGTAGTACACATTTCCAAAACTAGCTCATTATCACATAGCTGCCACAAACAGGGATCCTAATACAAAATTTCAAAATGTCAGTTTTATCCGTCGTTCTTCCTTAACAAAAGAGTTCCAAATTTAGTACAATTAAGTACAGTTCGCACACTTAGTGCACATTTCCGAAATCACCTTCATATATCCAACGTTAATTCCCATTCCAAAATTTCAAGGTTTAAGCTCTAACAGTTCGCGCGATACAAAATGATACAAAACATAGTACATTTTAGTACTTTGCGTACTTTTCATAGTGCGAGTTTTCAAAAACCCTTTGCTGCATCCTTCATAAACACAATCAATGACCTCCATACAAATTAAGGAAAGTTCTGGCTCCACTGGTTCGTTAAACACAAAGGGTACCATATTTAGTAAATTTTAGTACTTTTTGTACCGTACAAATTTTTAAAAACCCAGCCTTATCTAACACCTTCATATCAAGAGTGACCCTCACCCAAATTCAGACTCTAGCTTCAGTCGTATTGTCTTCCAATTATTTTACTTTTTATATAAATAAAGATTATTTTGAATATTTTTAAATTCTGCAGAAATTAATATCCGTATTTATGGCACTTGCGGGGAATACATTTTTGAGTTTTGGAGATAAATAAAATTTATATTTGGAACTCGATCTGGTGAAAAAGCCTTTAAGCCTAAGTCTAAGCCTAAATTAAAATTAATTAAAAATTAACAAGTAAAAAAGCAGAACTTTGAATACCCTCCACCATTTGGAACGAATTAGAAAATTTTCAAAAAATAAAATCTATTAAAAATTCTGATAAAATCTTTAAAATATCTAATATCGGAAGGTGCCGATATATGGGGGGATATACTATATTGTGGACCTATATTGACAATTACCTTTCAGGGGTTAAAGTGCTCACAAAGAACTCCTTGTGTGGATTTTCAGACAATACCATAGGAAAATATGGCTAAAATCATCAAAATACCGAATATCGGGGGTACCGTTATGTGGGGGATATACGATATCTTTAACCTATATATGTCAGGGGGTAAACTGCTCACAAAGAACCTCTTTCAGACAATTCCGTTGAAAAAAGTGGCTAATATCATCAAAATACCGAATATCGGGGGTACCGTTATATGGGGACTATACGATATAGTGGACCTATATAGATAATTATCTTCCGAGGTATAAAGTACCCACAAGGTACACCTTGTGTGGATTATCAGACAATTCCGTTGAAAAAAAGTAGCTAAAATCATCAAAATACCGAATATCGGGGGGTACCGTTATATGGGGGCTATACGATATCGTGGACCTATATAGATTATTCTCTTCCAAGGCATAAAGTACCTAGAAGGAACTCCTTGTGTGGATTATCACACAATTCCGTTGAAAAATGTGGCTAAAATCATCAAAATACCGAATATCGATATAGCCCATCTTCGAACTTGACCTGCCTGCAGACAAAAGAGGGATCTGTGCAAAATTTTAGCTACCTATTTTAATTCGTTTAGACTGCAGCGTGATTAAAACAGACGGACGGACATGGCTAAATCGTCTTAGAATTTTACGCTGATCAAGAATATATATACTTTGTTGGGTCTAAAATGATTATTTCGATGAGTTACAAACGGAATGCCGAACTTAATATACCCTCCATACTATGTATGGTGGAGGGTATAAAAAAACACGCATTTTGAAGACAGGTTTTTAGCTTCAGAGTTGTGTTGGTCAAATGTAGACAACGTGTCCTACCTTGCTGATATGGTGAATGGGGTTGTTCACGGTTTTTATGCATTAACCTCTGATGCGGAGAGAGGATTAATCCAAACCCAGCTTAAGATTGATTCTGTGCTTAAACAGAGGCTACAAAAATATAGAATGTTTTCATAGAGACCATATCATTAGGAAAACTCCGAACTTGAAAACCTACCCTATTGGGTATCAACACTCTTAAAATAGTACCTCAATTGCTCCTCCTTTTTTTCCAAACTTTCAACCATTTCACAAAATTTACAGTGCATCTAAATCGACTCTTGTCGACCGTAGCCGCCATAAATGAACATCAACACCCAGCATCCTTTTTAGGCCAATAATTTTTACTTATTTCACACATACCCTTGCGCTAACTAACTTCCATGCACGCACACATACAAACAACCCAACTTGCCTTACTTCTACTCTCAAAAATGTGCTTTCATATCTGGTGCTCTCGGATTTGAAATGAGAACAGCAGTGGATGGCTCGCTGGCTGTTGGCTGAGCCGAGAACAAACCAACAACAGATTGAAACGAAAACGAAAATTTGTCATCCACGCACAATATTCGATACGATTCTGGCAGTCAGCAGCCAGCCAGCCAGCCAGCCAAGTTAGTCGTCCTTAGGCCAGAGTAAGCGTAACACGTACCAATTAACGGCACTCGGATAACGGGAAAGATAACGTCGGGACGAACTGCCTGTCTATGTCTAGAGTCAGTCTTAAGGCTAGAGTGTTTGGTGTGACAGTGCGATAAAAACGTCTGTTGGAGTATTAATTTCCATTGATGTTGTTGTTGGCTTTGTTTTTTCATCTTTTCTTCATCTCCTGAAAGAGTGTGTGTGTGTGTGTGTTACAACTTCTCCAATTCCTTGCAACTATTGAAAGTGTTTCGATAACGGCTTGTCATTGTAACGAACGTATGGTTGGACCCAACCTACAACAATAATAGCAGCAGCAACAACAACAAATAAAATAAAACAAACGGGTGGAAATTTTTGAAAGATGTCATCGGAAAGTGAAGGAGATTTATGAGTTTGAAATATATAACGAACGACAAAAAAAAGTACCCGATCACATTTTACCTTGTACGTGTTAAGGGCGATGCTATCGGCAGTTGGCGGTGTGTTGTTATTGTTGTTGTTGTCGTTTTTGCTAATGTCAGTTAGTCAGCATCATCGGAATTGGTGTGGAATATGGATTCCTCAACTCCTTATAAAACATATGGTTTGATTAACGACAGGTTATTATTGGAGAGATGCTGGGCTCAACTTAATTTTAGGAACCTGTGGGTGGAATCGTGCCATCGCCCAGCCCCCACCCAATTCCCACGTGGAAATTCAAAATATTGTGAGAATTTATGCCAGCGTTTAAAAATTCGGTTATTTTAAAAGTGCTTTCACTTATGGCCTAACTGGCTGTGGCAGCGTGACTACGACACGACGATGATGACAGTAGCTACAATGTCGACATCAATTTCGGCCATACAGACGTCATCATATTTGTCTGTCGCTCTGTCTGTGCGAGAAAAAAGATAACCTCATGGCATGTATGTGTGTGTGTGTGTGTGTGAGAGTGTTTGTACAAGTGTATATTTATGTGCAAATATATGAATACTTGTGCAAATGCGGGGGTGGTGTAGAGATGTGTGTGTGTGTGTGTGGCGAATGTTTGCTTGCCTTCACATGTGTTCATATGTATGTGAGTGCACGTGTGTGTGTGTGCGTGCTTGTATGTTTGCCAACATTTCACATTCCGAGTTCAAAGAATGTGATGGCCTTGTGAGCGCATTATCACCCAGTGCTGCTCCATGAATTGAATTTGCCTACAGTTTCGGTTTCGGTTTTTTCGTTTTGTTTTTGTGTTTCCGCGTGTGTGAGTGTGAGTGTGTGTTTGTTTGGGGGCCGGGTGATGCTTTCATAATTCGCAAAATGCCTATGCCTTGGCTCTGAGGTTAGGCCTCTAGGCCTCTAAACAAATCATGGTTGCCGAGAAGGCGTCGTTGGCGTAGAAGGAGGAGAAGGAGGAGGAGTTGAACACCATAACAAGATGTTTGTTTTATTTTTATTTTGGTTTTTTGTTTTGTTTTCATAGACAATTCGTTAAAGGATCATAAAAACGCAAATTTTGCCAATGTTAAATAAGACAAATCATCATCGGCATCGACAACAACAAACATTATCTCTTTGCTTTTTTTTGGTTTCTTCAGCAACTACAGCCAGGGCGCCAAGGGAATCTCTCTGTGTGTGTGTGTGTGTCTTTGGTAGCTCATAATCCCTAGAACGTTTATTATTGTCTCAAATAGGGTGTAACCACCCATCTGCCACGAAATAAAATAGAATCATCAGCTACTCAATAACCCAGCCGAGTAGTTGCCTGTGATACATAAAACCCTTTTGTGCCACACAAAACAAATGTAAATGCGAATGCGAATGCCATAAATTAGTTTTTCCCATGGAATGCGAAACAGCCCAGGCAAACAAACGAGGCTAGGCCAACTTAAATTGGAGCACAACGCGGAATCATACTTTTGTTTCGTTCGACACTGAAGCTGGGCCGACATCGCCATCATCATCATGGCTAATACGATTTTCAAATATCATCAGCATTCTCAGCAGCATCATAGTCAGCACAATCCCAATTATCCGTATCATCAGGTCCATGGGAGCAGTGGGAGCAGCATTAGCGCTGGCATTGCCACCATTGATGGCAGCAGCTCCAGCACCACCAACCACAATCAAAACAATAGCAATCAAAATTCAATATTCGTTTTAAATGCCGAAGCGAAAGTAAGTTTTTCATTCTATCCATAACCTCCTGCCTATTGTTTTGCCATTACCTTTGTTTAACAATCTACGTTTTTGTTACTTTTTTTTTTTTTTTTTTTTTTTTTTTTTTTTTTTTGCGCCTGAATGCAGAACACATAAAACCAAACAACAAATGGGTGAAAGAGTATTCAATTGGTTTTCTGCTACACTCGGAGGAAAATAATAAAAAAACAAAAGTGGAAGTGAAATAAATTTAAATCGAAATGCTAGGCGAAAAAAGCTTAAGTGGAAATATTTTTGGGTTTTTATGATCCACTCGATGGGTGTGCGTGCATGTGTTTGGGGGTAGATCAAGATTGAACTTTAACTTCAATCAGATTACGTTTTATGTATTGGAATTGAATCACCATTCCGTTAGCATCAAATTGTAATAATTTACACATCAATAGCTGCCAAAAGACATAAACTTTTGATTTCATTTAAATAGATTTCTTTTGTAGCTCAATCTAAGTCCTTTCAAAAAATCGATGTTCCGTGTTGCACCATTGTGAGTTTACAAATCTTTTCAAATATATATATAACGTTTTAAGAGGCAATAAGAAAATTGGATTTAGAATGTGAAATATATCAAATCAGGGAGGGGAGAAATATAGTTTCAATATAGTCAAATGCGGGGTTGGATATTCTTACTTTAAAAGAGGTTCCCTTGAAATAATTGCACCATGGATAGATCCTTGGTAAAAACAGCAAAGAAAGTCTTAAAGTCGGGCGGGGCCGACTTTATGATACCCTACACCACTTTGCTAATTTAGTAGAGCTACTCATAACAATTAAAAGTTTTTATGGGAGAATTCAATCATACACGCTATGATTATAATTATAATTTAAAGTTCAAAGGACTTAATATGCCGAAGCATTTGTATCTGTTAAATTCTGACTTGTAATGCCCATTTGGTGCACAATTAAATTGAAATCAGATAAAGATATAGATCTCGATAAAATTTGACAACGATATTTCTGAGCTGTATTTGATATATTTCCCTGAATATCGTTGTTACGGAGTGCATATTACGGCTGTGGGTAACAAATATAACAAATCGGATGAACAGTATATATGGGAGCTATAGCTATATCTGAACCGATCTTCACCAAATTTGATATACTAGCTTCTAGACTCAATTCGGTCGTAAGTGCCAAATTTCATCCCATTTGGGCAAATATATCCAAATCTGAACCGATCTCGATAAAATTTAGCAAATGTTTTTCTGAGCTGTATTTGATATATTACCCCAAATATTGTTGTTACAAAGTGCATATTACGGCTGCGGAGGACACAAATAACAAATCGGATGAACAATATATATGGGAGCTATAGGTATATCTGAACTGATTTCGATCGAATTTGGCATACATATTTTCAAGTTCAATCTGATCGTACATGCAAAATTCCATACTATTCGGACTGATATTACATTATCTGGATAGGGCAATAAATGCGAACTGTACTTTGTTTACAAAAATACATGGACAGACGGATCATCAAAAAGAACTATGGGTCTATCTCGTTTCCTTTTGTCTGTTACAAACAAATGCACAAAGACATACTACCCTGACCACCTTGTCGTGTAGGGTATAATTAAAAAGGTAAAGTCATTTCAAATAAACATACCCATATCTGCATTTTTTTTGTAATTTAACTTGTCATATTTCACAGCATAAAAACTAGGTTCCCCCATCTCTGACTTGAGTTTTTACAATGGATTTATAAACACATACTTTTCCTATGAGATGATGTCAAACGAATAATTTTGAAAAAATTTTAAAAATATGTTTGTATGACTTTACCTTCTTGATTCTACCATGGATAGGCTTTAGAAATCACCTGAACGTTGTTTTCTTACGATGACCTTTAAATGTCAAAATTTGAAATATCTCAAAATTTTGTTGAAACTGAAAAGCATATTTTCAGACAAGGTACCTATATGTAATAGACTATTAATGGTAGTCTGCTCTTATTATTTTTTGTAACACGAAATATAATTACGGGGTAAATCCAGCAAACTAAGAAAATTGAGCTAAACAAGTAAAAACAAGTAAGCAAAGGCTATAGTCGTCCGGGGCCGACTATGTTATACCCTACAACACTACAATATGTTAGAAGCCCGATTATGTCTAAATCCATTTTGGAAAATTTCGCTTTTGAAATTAGGATTTTGACTAGGGACATTTGCCCAATATTTATGCGCTCTGTCGGGCTGTTAGTTGTTGTAGTCCATTTTACAGTTAAATATAATCCAATGGTCATCCAAAATGCTAGAATTCTTCCCTGTCCTTAACTCCCTTCACAGTCGTGTCGATTGGCTTCAATTGTGTGATCGGAAAAACATTTCTGTTTTGGTTAATTTGAACCCCTAAATATTTTGCAATCATATCCAGAAGCAAGAAGCCCCTTCGTACCTCCTTCTGAGCCCAACCCTACCCTTGTGAAAATTTTCGTGAGGATCGGACGATATTTGCAATACTTATATAATATCCTCAAACGGTGTTGTAAGGTGAAAAAATATTTCAAAATATTATAAGTCAAAATTCGAATAAAATAAAAAATGTCACAAAATCTATATTAACATCATTATTGTTACCTTTTTATGTGATTTTTTAGATTTTATTCCTTTATGTCAAGAGGGCATTCTGAATTGACAAAATTTGTCAAAATCGGTCAAGCCATTCTTGAGATATAAACATTCTAACTAACATCCCCTTCCTTTGTATATACACATTGTATATATTTCGCTATATATTACCGATAAATTTACTATCGGCATCTACGTTACGGTCAGAATTGACCTGTATGTCTATTTGTGATTTCGCCGGGATTACAAATATTCGCGGTTTAATGGAAAATTTGACTTTTATTTAACACAAATGTTGTGGCCTATTTCACTCACTAAATATTACGCTTTAAATGGTCTATAATTGCGACCTGTAGAGCAACTGCAAATCCAGTGGTCCATTTCAACCCCTAAATATTATGCGACCATCTCCAAAATAAATAGGGTTCTATTCTGGTTCTAACCCCATATCCATTCTAAGTTTCGTGAAGATCGGGCCATAATTGCGACCTGTAGAGTGATTACAAATTAACATGGACAGACGGACGGACATACATAGCTAGATCGACTCAGCTCGGCGAGATAGGAAGATCCATATATACTTTCCTATGTGGGAAACCAATATTTCGAGGTGTTACATAATTTTTGGTCCAATCAAACTTATAATACCCCCAACACATAGTGTGGTAGGGCATAAAAAAATTTAATTCGGCCGGGCCGAACTTTCAATACCTTCCACCTTAAGGTAAAGGAAACATTTTCTATATAAAAGTATCTGAATTCAAGCGTGTTTTACTTTAAACTTCATATATCAGTAAGACCATCTGCATAATGCAGTTAAATTTATCAAAAAACCATAAAGTGAGAGAGGCCGTTTTATGGAGCTATACCAAAACGGGAACCTCTATAGGCAATATTTTACTTCAAAGATTGCCATCTACCTTCTTCTTAAACACCAAATTTGAAACAATTTCGTGGGTAAATATGAATAGGATTATCAAAATACCGAATATCGGTGGGTATAGTTATATGTGCGCTTTGGGAAAACGTGGAACTAAATATTCAATGTTTTGCCACGGGGCTACCCTATTATGAACCCATTATGAACTGCAAATACCAATTTTTATCAAAATATCGAATATCACGAGGTACCGTTAAATGGAGGCTATACCAAAACATGGACCTATACATACAATATTTCGCCATATGAGCTAGAACCCATTTTGACCCAAAAAATACCAATTTTTAGACAAATTCGTGTGAAAATATGGCAAAAATCATAAAAATACCGAATATTTGGAAGGTACCGTTATATATGGGCTATACGAAAACGTGGACCTATACATACAATGTTCCGCCTGTGAAACATTATGACCTACATATACCAATTTATAGACTTTTACTAACCCAAGGTCTGTTGTTAAGATAGGCAATATGGGTTCACTCATTCTGGTGCCTCCCCCTCGAAATTTTCAAAAACAAAAAAAAAGATTTTTTCTGCACAGAAAGAGAACGATCATTCAATTCTGCTCCAACTTTGCAAATCCTAGAATTTGCGTCAGTTCTAGATCAGGTGCAAAAATGGATAATGTATGTCCACTCCATCAAGCACCTACCCCACAAAGTGTTAAAATTTTGAATAATTATAACTCACACAATTACTTAAAAAACCCAAGATCTGTAGTGGGATTCTCTAAGTCTTTATTTGAGTTACCGACAATAATAGGTAACTTTAAAATCAAAATTTTTGATATGAAAAAAAGTTAAAGTTACAACATTGGTATCTATCGGTAGCTTTTAACGGCTACTTTGATTTCGTCGCTAGCTTCCCGAAAAATTTCGTTAATTACCGAAGTTATATGCATTTTAGGTTCACCGACTTTTGTCGGTAACTCAAAAAATGCATTAGAGAATGCCACTACATACTGGTGTTAAAATATAATATATCGATCCACTCTTTCTGGTACCTCCCTCACGAAGGCTCAAAAATGTGAATATCCAAATATTTTCTCCTGGATCCTCCCCCACAAAGGGTCAAAGTTTTGAATAACAACAAGTTAAAAAGCGGTAAGTTCGGCCGGGCCAAACTTTGAATATCCTTAAAAACTTCTGTTAAAATGTTAAAAATACCGAATATAGCCGTTAAATTGGTGTCTATACGACGTGGACCTACATAGGCATAGTTTGTTATAAGTCATTACCATATTCAAATTCGAAACTTGAAATAAGCGGTGAATAATGTAGCTACAATCATCAAAATATCGTATGTAGGGAGGTACCGTTATATCGGAGCTGTGCGAAGACCTGAACCAGCATAGACAATTTTCTGTCATAGGCTGTAGCATCCATTACGAACTTCAAATACCATATCTCAAACAATTTCGTTGGGTATTGTACCTAAACACGTCAAAATACCGAATATAGGGAGGTACTGGTACATGGGGCCTATACGAAGACCTGGACCTGCATAAACAATTTTCTGTCAAAGACTGTAGTTCCCATTACGAACTCTAAATACGTAATTTGAAACAATTATGGAGAATAATAACGCTAAAATCATCAAAATACCGAATATAGGGAGGTACCGTTATATGGGGGCTATACGAAGACGTAGACCTGCACAGACAATTTTCTTCCTTAGCCTGTAGCATCCATTACGAACTTCTAATGCCAAATTTTAAACATTTCCGGTTAATAATGTCGGGAGGTACCGTTATATGGGGGCTATATGGGAACTTGGACTTACATGGCCCATTTAGGAACTTAACCTGCCTACTGGAAAAATAAACATGTGTGCAAAACTTTAGCCTTCTATCTCAATTCGTTCGAAAAATAGCGTGATTACAACAGACAGACGGACATTGCTAAATCGACTTAAAATTTTACGCTGATCAAGAATATATATACTTTGTTGGGTCTGACATGAGTATTTCGGAATGACAAAGTTAATATACTCTCCATAGTATGGTGGAGGGTATAAAAACGATTATAAAAACCGAAGTAAGCATCCGATTCTCCTTATGAATCACACATACCATTATTTCTACTAACATAAGATCGGTTGTGAAGATGGAATATATCGGTCCACTCCTTCTGGTAGCTCCCCAACGAAAGCTCAAAATTGTGAATATCCATGAAGTTCATAAAACGGGAAACTAACATCCAATTGAATTCAGACTTGGTACATCTCAATATTTCCATAAATACAAGATCTATTTTAAAAATGGCAGAGATCGGACCATTTATTCTGGAATCTCCCCCATATAGGGTTAACATTTTTGGAAAACAAACGCTAAGGAAGAAATCAAAATAAGCATCCAACTCTCTTTAAATTTCACCCATCAAAATATTTTTGTTAAGACAAGATCTGTTGTTAAGATGATATATATCCCACAAAGGATCACAATTTTCAATATTTTATCTGTCATAACTTGCGAAATAAGTCAGCAATTATTTACAACTTCCTATGTCTAAATAGGAAGAAGTCGGTAGAGTCCACCTGTTACGTCGCAATTTTTTACGATATTAATTATAATAGAAGTTAAAATATTTTTAAATAATCGAACATAGGCTGAGGAATACTTATGTCGGCAAACGTGATTCATACTTTTTACCTTGTTTTTCTTTGTTTATTCGGAAAAAAATGCGTAACTCGACTTTAGTTGAATCAATTTTTCAGAGTGGAATATCGATTTTGCGATCATCAGTTATTGGCAGATTTTTTATAATTAAACGTGCCAAGTTCTACATAAGGTCGGCCAAGAAGGCTACTTTTATTGCGATATGATTCTTCTCGAATTTCAAATCATGATTGGTCTGTTCCAGAACTGCCAGAATGTTTTTACTACTATTTTTCTTTTATGATATGGGGGAAAATTGCAAAACTAGTAGATTCTTGCAGATTCTGGAACAGAGCAAATAAGTCTTTCGACGGCAAAGTTGGTTGTCAGATGCGCTTACTGGCCGACACGTGTCAAAGTAATATCCTATAAAGGATAAAAAATCGATTCTATCCTCTGATGCAAAATCTAAACACCAAAGAAGAATCAAAGTCGACTAAGGATTGCGAAGCAAAAATCGAACATTAAATTTGGACGGATTATTTTTCTTTTGAAGACATCTAAATAAGGGTAATCCTCCAAATTCACTCTTTTGATATGCCAAAAAAAAAGAAGGCTTCTTATTACCCATCCCTCCAATTTAGAGTATCTTATCCCACATGAGTATCTTAAAAATCTCCACCATTTTCTTCGAGTGTAAAACATTTAGACTGGTTCTAGCAGTTGAATGCCAATTGAAATGGAAATTGTTAACCTTCACAATTTTTTGTTTTGTTTTGAATTTATTTTTTTTATTTCATGTTCACCATCCTTTTACCCATTTTCTGTTGTTGTTGTTATTTTTCTTGATGTTGTTGTTTTGTCATGTTCTGGCTTTTATGTGTTCGCAACGCTTGCAGGCATTTTTTTTTTGTACAAAAAGTCAATGATAATAATTTCACTTTCCCTTTGAATATCCATTTGCTCTTTCTTGTTGTTGTTGTAGATTTCGCCAAATAGTTGTAGGAAATTCTATTTAGATTTTAACGATAACCCAATGGACTCATCTGCAACGCTAACCCAACAATCAACCGCCGCCACAACGGCCACAGCTGGCAATGGGATCAATAGTAATTTCTCCTCGTTTCCCTCGGCCTCGTCGGTATGGTCCTCGGCCTCGTCCACTATGTGTTCACCTGCTGCCCATGCCATACAGAAGCTGTTCAACTGCAGCAGCGGGGGTGGAGGCGGAGGCGGTGCTGGCTCCACAACGAAACATTATGGAAATTTAAGCTCTGGAATTGATTCAAAGTCATCAGCATTAACATCATCGTCATCATTTAAGACCTCCAAATCGGAATTATTGAAGAAGAAATCAAAGTTCTGGCAATACCTGGAAGGGGAGACACAAACGGCGTCGGCGGCGGCGACGACAACAACGAGCTATGAGGGAATTGATAGCAGCAAAAAGGGTAAAGGCAAAAGGTAATTATTATGGGTTATTTTCCATCCACCTCTCTCTCCCACACTCTCCTTGGGATACGCTAGTAAGAACACACGCAGCCACCTCTGCTCGTCGTGCAGAAAGTCAACTCTCATTTCCCTAAACTATTTAATGGTAATTTGAGGTACAGAATAATTAGCAAAAGCCACCAAAGGAAATTGAGCTGGCTGGGGCACTGGGAATTGGCTGCAATGAAATGATGATATTTGATATTTATTAAACGTTTTGTATTTAACTTTGCCAGGGTAGAGAGCAGAGCGGAGCGGGGAATTATGGCTAATGAATTTGAATGAGTTTTGCAAAACGGAACTTAACCCCGTTTACAATTTAAATCAATTCAATAAATCTGAATGTAATATTTTTAGATTGCTCGCTGTACTTGATCTAAATTCAATTGATGGCATCCAATTATGGCGTCCTTGTGTGGCTGGCTGGCTGGCTGGTTGGCTGTGTAGCCGTCAGTCACATTTGGTTGCCATCAAATATTAAAGGACAGCAACAAAAACTCCAATTCAATTATTTTTTTTTTTTGGCCACATAACTGGTCAAAAATGATTTGTTTGTTGCAGTGCAGGGAAGGGAGGCAGCGTTCGTTTGTCCCTCCGTTCCGTTCGGTTGGTTGGTCTGTTTGTCCGTTACACATCTCGTTTGGCTGCCATTCAAAGTTGATGGATGGGAAACAAATCGATTTGTAATTTGTGATTTGTTCAGCTATTCGATGTGTTTCTAGGATATATCTGTGGATGTATTTGTACGGTTTAGAATACCCTACACCAGGGTGGGGTTGTAGCTGTTTTTGGATACAAAGAGGATATTCGCAACTCCTCAACATAATTTTTTTCAAATATAGAATTTATGAAAATTAAAGTAGACAGGCCCAAGTTGTTGCATAGCTCCATTATAGCGGTGCCTTCCGATTTAAGGTATTTTGAATGTAGAAGTAATAATTTTCCACGGAATCAGACATTTCGAATTCTAAAGGGTCCGCGATATTCTTTTTTATACCCTCCCCCATAGTATGGAGGGTATATTATTTGTAACTCCTCGTCATTCCGTTTGTAACTCCTCGAAATACTCATGTCAGGCCCAACAAATTATCCATGTTCCTGACCAGCGTAAGATTCTAAGTCTTTCCGTCCGTCTATTGTCTCTTTCGAACGAATTGAGACGGAAAGCTACCATTTTGCACATACGTATATTTTGTCAGTAGGCAGGTTATGTTCGTAAATGGGCCATGTCGGTCCACTTCTTCGCATAGCTCTCATATAACAATATCTACCTATATTCGTTATTTTTCACCGGAATTGTTTCAAGTTTCGTTCTTGAAGTTCGTAATAGATACTAAAACCTTAGACATAAAATTGTCTATGCAGGTCCAAACACTTCGTATTGCCCATATATAACGGCACCTCCCTTTACTCGGTGTTTTGTTGGTATTGGCGACATTATTCACCGGATTTTTTTTTAAATTTGGTATTTTAAGTTCGGAATCGGTAATACAGCCTATGGCAGGAAATTACGTATGCAGTAATCCTCCAAAATGGTGGAGGGTATTAAAGGTTATGGAGGTATTTGTCATAGTATAGTTCTCACATAACGATTTTCGTTAGTCGGTATTTATCTACGTTCATTATGATCCAATGACTGTAACGGCCCGGAATAAAAATTGCCCATTTATGCCTCTGGACAAATATCCGCCCAAACAGTGACTCGTTTTGGATACATCGGCTTTCAATGTGTGCGTACGGTTTTCAGTGCCCAAAACGCGACAATTTAGCTTGTTTCTTCCAAAATCCGCACACAATTTTCGGACACATTGTGCAACATTACCATGATTTTCAAAGTAATGTCGCAATATTCCCCAGTGCTGTTTAAGGGTATAGACAACCATAATCGTTCATGGAAAAACGAAAGTAATTATCTTTCAAATCAGGTATGAGCTAAGTGTTACCATTCACGAAATAAGAACTAGTTGAAGAACCAAACGTTAGATTGCGAACCCTACATGTCCCAATTTACACATGATTAGTTGTCCAGAGAGAAAACTAAGTTTGTAGACAGAGGAGGATTCCAAAATTATCAATGGAATTTTCTGAAAATTCACACAAGGAGGTCTCTCTGAGTAATTTAACTTCTTGGGCGGAATTGGAATTGTCTATATAGGTCTTCTATCGCATACCTTTCATACACCCGGTATTCGGACTTTAGCGACAGTATTCACCGGAATTTTGACAAATTTAGTATTTGAAGCTCGTAATCGGTACTTCAAATTTTCTATGCAGATCCACAGTTTGTATAGCCCACACATATAACGGACAGACTTTTTGTTTTTGATTTTTCAAGCGCCTTCCCAATGTTGGAGGGTATAAAAAGTTCTGCCCGCCGACTTTGGCGCTTTTTTAACTGTTCCAACACGATAAAGTTTTTCCAAGAAGAAAAACTGCAACAAAGTCAAACGCCATAATTTTTATTTATTTTTTTTTAAATTTTATTGAATGAAAGCAAAAAATGTCGGAAATTGAATCAAATTTTAGAATGAGTTCAAATTTGTTCGAATTGTGATTTAGTGATTTTTAGTACTTTTAATGCACTTATATTTCTTTGGTACATCTAGCCTACAGCGCATCAGTGAACCTCCTTCCAAATTTCAGAATTCTAGTTCCATGCATTTGCCTAAAAAGAAAAAATAATTTTTACTACCTTTTAGTACTTTTTACGTTTAGTACACTTATAGTTCGAATTTTCAAAAACCCAGTCTAAGTTCATCCCTACACACCAACATTGACCCACATGCAAACCTTCAAGATTCTAGCTTCAGTTTTGTAGCCTGGACGCTAAATTAGACAATCACTCATCCACTGAACTGTTTTCATAATACATGTTTTGAAATGAACACAGTTTTCACTAAAATAACTATAACTCATAAACCAATATAGAGATAGTTTATACATAAAAACCTTGGTATTGACGTCATCTTTCATATGATGATTGCAAAAACAAAATCGGTTCATGCATTTCAGAGAACATCAATGACTAACATAATCAAACTTTTTTATAAATATGCATAGATTTGAGGCAATAAATGTAAGTCCTTCGTCATATTTGCTTTTTCGAGATACAAATAAAGGGATTTGAATTACTTATTAAATATCACGAATTACAAAGGAAATAATTTGAATTACAAATGAAATATCACGAATTACAAATTAAATATTTCGAATTACATGCGAAAATATGCGGATTTCTTTGGTATATGTTGCATACAACGTGTACTCATGGTGTAGGGTACCAAATGATCACTTACGCCTTCTATGGCCACTTTAACTTATTCCTCTCATTTATTTTTTTTTCTTCTTTTTTCTTCAGAATATCTAAAAGCAATTTGCAAGCATGTTTAAGCCAATTGCTTTGCTGGCTCGCCTTATTCAGTGATTCATTCATTCATTCGTCTGATTCAATTTATCCATTTCAATGGAGTTTTACGGCTTTTATTTCCATTCTGTTTCTGTTTTGTATTGCAGTTTTTTTTTCTTTGCTTTTGTGGAACATTCATCGGACAAGGACAAGAAAGAAGTATTTAAACGCAACGCAAAACCAAACAAAGTAAAATAAAAAATAAAATAAAAAACAAGAAAAATCTACATCATTAACCTTGCATAAAGCGAGAACATTAATTATGAGCTCTTTCTTTCTTGTCCAAGCATATTGAATTACGTTAATGGGGTCGCTCTCTGTCTTTGCGGCCAACGCATTTAAATGAATTAAGAATGAACGATTTTGGTATTCTAATATAATTTAATGCATGCAAAAAGTTGTTGGGTTATTAATGCAAATTTAATCGGGCACGAATGGCACGATATTCCAAAGGGTGTGGGGTGTGGTGAATTAAACATTGGAGATATTCAAAGTTTCGTTTCGTTGGAAGTTATTCTTGAAGAGTATCATGAGCTTTGTCATTTATATTTAATAAAGGATATGTAAGGAGCCTAAGGAGCTAACATAAGGGAATAGCCGTTACGTATTTACATAAATACGTACTTAGATTTTGACAAGCAAATTTTTCCAAAACAGATGAAACTATACATGTGTGGGAAAAATCTGTTTCAAAACTGTTTTTTAGTGGAGACATTTTATGATTTTTTCCACCTGACAGGAAATGCATTTTTTAACCAGCGGGACGATTCAAAGAGCACATAGAAAAAACCTATGTACATATATAACAAGTTAAAAAGCAGTAATGCCCTTCCCGATTTGCAAAGAATTTGGAAATTTTCAAAAAATAAAATCCGTTAAAAATTCTGTTAAAATCTTAAAAATACCGAATATAGTCGTTATATTGGGGTCTCTACGACGTGAACCTGCATAGGCTTAGTTTGTCATAAGCCATTATCATATTCAAATTCGAAACTTGAAATAAACGGTGAATAATGTAGCTAAAATCATCAAAATACCGTATATAGGGAGGTACCGTTATATCGGAGCTATACGAAGACCTGTATCGGCATAGAAAATTTTCTGTCACAGGCTGTAGGTATCCATTACGAACTTCAAATACCAAATTTGAAACAATTCCGGTGAAAATGTCGCTAAAAACATCAAAATACCGAATATTCGGAGGTACCGTTATATGGGGGCTATATGAAGACCTCAACCTGCACAGAAAATTCTGTCTTAGTCTAAAGTATCCATTATGAACTTCAAATACCAAATTTAAAACAATTCCGGTGAATAATGTCGCTAAAATCATCAAAATATCGTATGTAGGGAGGTACCGTTATATCGGAGCTGTGCGAAGAACTGGACCAGCATAAACAATTTTCTGTCACAGGCTATAGCATCTATTACGAACGGCAAATACGACATCTCAAAAAATTTCGGTGGGTATTGGTACCGAATACTGATATATGGGGCCGAGGTACGGATTATACGAAGACCTGTACCTGAATAGATAATTTTCTGTCACAGACTGTAGTTTCCATTACGAACTCTAAATACGTATTTTGAAACAATTCCGTTAAATAATGTCGCTAAAATCATCAAAATACCGAATTTTTGGAGGTACTGATATATGGGGCCTATATGAAGACCTGGACCTTCACAGAAAATTTTCTGTCAAAGGCTGTAGTATCCATTACGAACTTCAAATACCAAATTTGAAACAATTGCGGTGAATAATGTTGCTAAAATCATCAAAATATCGAATATTGGGAGGTACCGTTATATGGGGGCTATATGAAGGCGTGGACCTGCACAGACAATAATAATGAATAAATTCGCCAAAATCATCAAAATACCGAATATCCGGAGGTACCGTTATATGGGGCCTATATAAAAAGTGGACTTACCTTTACGAACTTAGCCCCGCCTACTGGCAAAATAAACACCTGTGCAAAATTTTAGCCCTCTATCTCAATTCGTTCGAAAGATAGCGTGATTACAACAGATAGGCGGACAGACAGTGGACATCGCTAAATCAACTTAGAATTTTACGCTGATCAAGAATATATATACCTTGATGGGTCTGACATGAGGAGTTACAAACGGAATGACAAAGTTAATATACCCTCCATAGTATGGTGGAGGGTACAAAATTTTTTAAAACTATTTTTAATACTTTTCAAAAATAATCTCAGCATTGTAGAGATATTGTAGAGTCTACAGAGTACCGCGACTCAAAGATAATGACGTAAAAAGTCGAATTTTCAATTTTTGCTCCAATAAAAATGAATTGTCGATCTCACCTCAAAGTTGACAATAATCAATTTCTATTTCGGAGCCATTCATTAAATAGTGTTACCGACAGCAGAATCACTTACTCCGTCGGTAGTTCGTTCAAATAATTTTGCAAGTGATCGAGATTTGCGTGATGAATTATGAAATTATACAGCCTTCTGACAAGGCTTCAAGGGCAGCTGTAGTATTGAACAATTGAAGCTAATATTATGGTGCTGCACATGACCATGAGTTGTTTTTCAAAATCTTGAACCCTATACGGAGGAGGAGAAATGGTCCGAAACAGATCTTGTGTTGATGGAAATATCGAGAAATATAAGTCTGGATAGATTCGGATGTTAATTTTGCGTGTTAAGGACTTCATGGATATTCAAAATTATGACCCTCTGTGGGGTAGGTACCAAAGGAAGTTTTCCGATATATCCCATCTTCACAGCAGATCTTGTTATCAATATTGGGATGTGTGAAATATGAAGAGAAACAGATGCTTATTTCCGTTGCTATAATTGGTTTGGTTTTTCATAACTTTGACCCTTTATGGGAGAGGTACAAGAAGAAATTGTCCGATCTCCACCGTCTTTATAACAGATCTCGAGTTGATGGAAATATTGAGATGTGCCAAGCCTGAAAGGAATCGGATATTAATTTGGCGTTTTATGAGCTCCATTAATATTCAAAATTTTGACCCTCTGTGTGGACCGATATACTTCATCTTCACACCAGACTTTGGGTTAATAAAAAATATTGTGATGTGTGTAATTTCAAGGTAATCGAACTCTCACATCACATATTATAAGAGTTAGAATTATTCAAGATTTTGACCCTTTGTATGGAGGTACCAGAAGGAGTGGACCGATACTGTCCATTTTCGCACCTGACATAGCATGGAAGCAAATATTAGGATTCGCAAAGTTGGAGCAAAATCGGATTAGGCTTTTTCTTTCTGTGCAGCAAAATATTTTTTTTTTTTTTTTTAATTTGCACCTTTTGTGGGGGAGGCATTACCAGGAGGAGTGGACCGATATATTCCATCTTCACATCCGACCTTGGCTTAATAAAAATATTGTGATGTGTCAAATTTGAAGTCAATCAGACTCTTATATCACATTTTATAAGCGTTAAAATGTTTTCAAAATTTTGACATTTTGTGGGCGAGGTACTTGATGGAGTTGACCGATATTCTCCATTTTCGCATCTGACCTAGCACTGCAAAGGTGGAGCAATATCAGGTAATCCTTTCACTTTCTGTGCACTACAAGATTTTTTTTTAATTCTTGGCATTTTATGGGGAGGTACCAAAAGGAGTGGGTCGATAATGCCCATCTCCGAACTCGATCTAAGGTTGACAATAATATTACGGTGTAGCAAGTTTGGATCAAATCGGATACTCCCTTCGAGAGTTATTGCCAGACAGTCAGACGGACGGTCGGACGGACGTACATCGCTAGATCGACTCCAAATGTCCTGAAACCAAAGAAATGGATGAAGATCTATATGGAAGGTATATAAAAATCTTAACCGATCTCGATAACCGATCGATTTGGCAGAGGTATTCTCGAGCTGTATCTGATGTCTGATATCAAATATCATTGTTGTGGAGTGCATATTAGGCATGTGGGAGACTTTAACACCAAATCGGATGAAACTAATATGTGGATGCTACAGCTATATCTGAACCGATTTTCACCAAAATTTGAAATACTTGCTTTTGGGCTGAATTCTGTCGTAAGTGATCAAATTCAGTCCATTTGGGCTGATATTAGCCAATTGGTGCACGATAAATCTGATATCGGATAAAGATATATATGTATCTTTGGATATGCTATATCCAAATCTTAACCGATCTTGATAAAATTTGAAACAATTATTTTTGGGCTGTATCTGATATCTGTTACCAAATATCATTCGTGGAATTCATATTATGAATGTGAGGGATCGTATCGGATGATATATATGATATAAAATTGGTTGAAGACTTATATGGGAGCAAAATGTAGATTTGAACCGATTCTCAGCAATTTCAATAGGGGTCGTCCTTGACCCAAACAAATATTATTTGGAAAATCTCATCTTAATCGGATTAATCGGAAAATGTGACCTGCATTTTGTTCACAAAAATACATGGACGGACGGACAGACGGACTGACATGCTAAATCGACTCAGATAGTGCTTCTATGAAGATCCTCAAAAGTAACTATAGGTCTATCTCGCTTCCTGCTCCATGTTTCAAACAAATGTACAAAGACATAATACCATTACCACCAATATATGGGCGGTATATGCAATTCTGAACCGATTTGTACCTTTTGAACCAACTAACTTTGTTATAGAGTGCATGATATGACTTCGAGAAGACCAATTTGGCCTGGTTTTTCAGCGTAAGATTGGTTGTTTTGTTTCTTTGAAGATCCACAAAGAAACTTTAGGTCTATCTCGCTTCCTTCTCCATGTTTTAAACAAATGTACAAATACATAAGACCCTTACCACTATGTGTAGCAAACATTTCAAGATCTTAGCTCGATCCGTTTACGTAATTCCAAACAGCACCACATTAAGAACTTTTAGTACACTTGTAGTTCAAACTTCCGGATTTTCTCATTCCCAATTTCGGAACTCTAGCTCTTGGTGTCCAATAGAAAAACAATAACGAAAATATTTTATTTGTTCAAAAGAATTTCCAACTGAAAAAACAATTCGGAATCACGTAGGCCGTACACTCAATACATTAAAAATAGGACGAAGATTGCAATTAAAATGCACCCAGCGGATTATGCCTCATCATCTTTTCAAAGCCTAAGAAATTCATAGAATGTTAAGCCATGGATCTCATGTCGGAAACATCTTCTATAACCCGGCATTCTCTTTATTTATCATATTACGAAATTTACACCAACATCCGTACATTTTTACCCTTTAACAAATAGCTATGAGAAATTCTTGGAAAAATAGCTCCCAATAGCTTCGCTATTAAAATGTTGTTCGTATGTCTCACTCACTGTATCCGCAATTCTTTAATTTTAAAATACAACAATCCCCTTTTAACTTTGACTTCCGAATTTGGTTTCCTTGAAAATTCATTGTTCCCCTTTGCCTGTTTTGTTTTTGTTGTTGTTCATTATTTTAGATAAGCTAATTAGGAAGTTAACATTTCGCTTAATTTTTGTTTTTTTTTTTTGTTTTTGTTGTCTTGGCTGAGAACTTTTTCATATTGTTTGCGCGATGAAGAAGCGTCAGCAGATGAAGCTGCATTATTTAAATTAAAATCCATTACGATAATGTGTTAAGCATTCTAATCGAGAGAAAACTTTGAGCAAATAAAAAAAAAAACGAATGACAACAAGAACAACAATCATATAAATAGATTGGTATGACTTACGATTTCCCAGCTTGAAAAGGCTTTCATGTTTTACGGGCGGGTGGGGGAACAATTGTGGCGAAACAATCATGGCTTTGTTCTTTTGCAGGCTTGTGTAAAGTTCCAAGATTATGAATTTCTCTCAAGTTTGTGACATTGATGCGAACCCTTTTTTTGTCGTCTTGTTAACATCTTTCAATTTTTACGCCCTTCTTCCTCTACTTCCTCCTCTTTTTTGGTTTTTGTTTTCTAAACTGCCGCATTTCAGCCGGAAACACAAATCAAAATATTGGCCTAAATCCAATGCAAACGACGATGATAATCAAAGCAGTCATAATGACTTATCCGAGTTGCTGGAGTACTCGTGTAGCCTCTGTGACAACTGTCGCTGTATGGACTGTCAGGTATGTCTGTCTGTTTGTCTGTCTGTCAATTTGCCTATATGTCTGCATGTCTATTTGTTTGCTTATCTTTTGGTCGTTGGCGGCTTTGCCCCATTTTCAATGGCAATAAATGTTCTATTATCATCCATCATCCCATATTTCCTGTTCCCTGTTGTCCCGCCCGGAATTCTAATGCTCTTGTCTTGTAGATTGGCTACTTTGACTGTGACAATTCGGATGACAGCAACTCGGAGTACTCGTTTCACATGAATGCCTATGACGAGGAGGAGGATGAGGACAATGGCGACAACGATGACATCGGCCGGGGCATGGAATTGAAGGCAACCATAACAGCGTCAAGGACCCGGGCAACATCGACAGCATCAACAACGCCCAGCGATGATTCCGGCGAGGCCGTAGACGAGGATAGCGAAGCAAAGCATGCATTAGCTTGCAATAAAATCGACAATAAAAATGCCATCCAACAATTAGAATTTGAGAGCTCCATTCGTCGCAGTGGCGGAAGTCATGGCCCAACCCGACATGGAATGCCCGAGTGTTGTCATCAATGCTATGGCCTGGAGGTGGAACAGCATTGTCTGGATTTTCATCAACTCTACAACAGCAGTGAATGCTGTGGTAGTGGTGGTGTTGGTGGCGGGGGCGGTGGCGTTGCCATTGCCATCAGCCATAGAAAGCACTAGCAACGGCAAGTGTGATTCATGCATGCATGTTCATGTTCATGCTAATGAATAGAAATTAATTGCTTCGAAACAAAAACCAAAACAAAAACGACATGAAGTCTCATGCAAATTTATTACAAACAAAAGAAAATAAAACAAAAAAAAATTGTGCCAAAGTTTCAACATTTTTTCTAAATTGACTTAAAAACGTTACGAAAAAATTAAAAGAAAAATTCTCAAAATAAAATACGAAAAGATACAAAACTCTTACTCAAATACTTACCAAATCTAACTAGATTCTCTCTGCCCCCGCCATGAATAGATGATGTTTATTCAAATAAACTCAATGGAAGAAGAAAACCCCAAAAAAGAAATGAAAACAAAATCAAATAAAATTATTAAAGTATTCAACAAGTGCTATTACCAAAAAAAAAAAAAAAAAAAAACAAGAATTGAAAAAAAAGGAACACGAGAAACAAAAAAAGAAAACCAGTGAAACACAAGCAAACAAAAATCTAAAATATTTGAAATTTAATTTGATTTTATTGACAATGAAGACATGACAAAAAAAAAAAAACAAAGAAAACAAAATAATAAAAACAATAAAAAACGGAAATGATGATAGAAGCTATCATCGATGGTGTTTGCATTGTTCCAATGGTTTCTTGGGTTGGCGTTATCGCACAAGTGCTACATGATGGGTTGGTGGGTGGTTGGGTTTTTGAACGAGAAATCCTGCACTCGTTCAAAGAAGGTATAGAAGATATTAAAGGCAGTCTTTTTTGTCAAAAGTATGCAAAAACAAGTAAGCTAAGGCGATAGCCGTGCGGGGCCTACCATGTGATAGCCCCCTTATGTCCAAATCCATTTTGGAAAATTTCATTTTTGAAATTATTTCATGGAGCACTGCCCAGATGTCCCTGGTCGAAATTAAAGCAAAATTAGTTGTTGTAGTAATCCAACGGTCATCCAAAATGCTAGACTTCTTCCCTGTCCTTAACTCTCTTCTCATGCAAAATTTCTTGTCGATTGGTTTCAATTGTGTGATCAGGAAAATTTTTCTGGTTTTTGGTTCATTTGAACCCCTAAATATTTTGCGATCATCTCCAAATGCAAGAGGCCCCTCTGTATCTCCAAATTTACACTCGTCTATATGATTTGTTTGTCTACGATATTTGGCTATATTCGTCAACGAAATCAGCATAAACAAGTTAAAAAGCAGTAAGTTCGGCCGGGCCAAACTTTGAATACCCTCCACCAATTGGGGACGAATTTGGAAATTTTCAAAAAATAAAGTCCCTAAAAAATTCTGTTAAAATTTTAAAATTACCGAATATAGCCGTTATATTGGGATCTATACGACATGGAAATACATAGGTCTTGTTTGTTATAAGCCATTACCATATTGAATTTCGAAACTTGAAATAAACGGTGAATAATGTAGCTAAAATCAGCAAATTATCGTATGTAGGGAGGTACCGTTATATAGGAGCTGTGCGAAGACCTGGACCAGCATAGGTAATTTTCTGTCACAAGCTATAGCATCCACGTCAAATACGACATCTCAAAAAATTTCGATGAGTATTGGTACCGAATATAGGGAGGTACTGATATATGGGGCCTATACGAAGACCTGTACCTGCATAGACAATTTTCTGTCACAGACTGTAGTTTCCATTACGAACTCTAAATACGTAATTTGAAACAATTCCGTTAAATAGTGACGCTAAAATCATCAAAATACCGAATATCGGGAGGTACCGTTGTATGGGGGCTATACGAAGACGTGGACCGACACAGACAATTTTTTTGTCATAGGCTGTAGAATCCATTTCGAACTTAAAATACCAAATTTGAAACAATTCCGGTGAATAATGTCGCTCAAGTCATCAAAATACCGAATATCGGGAGGTACCGTTATATGGGGGCTATACGAAGACGTCGACCTGCACAGACAATTTTCTGTCTTAGGCTGTAGTATCCATTTGGAACTTAAAATAACAAATTTGAAACAATTCCGATGAATAATGTCGCTAAAATCATCAAAATACCGAATGTCGGAAGGTACCGTTGTATGGGGGCTATACGAAGACGTCGACCTGCACAGACAATTTTCTGTCTCAAGCTGTAGTATCCATTTCGAACTTCAAATACCAAAGTTGAAACAATTCCGGTGAATAATGTCGCTAAAATCATCAAAATACCGAGTATCGGGAGGTACTTATGTATGGGGGCTATATGAAAACGTGGACCTACATGACCCATTTACAAGCTCAACCTGCCTACTGGAAAAATAAACACGTGTGCAATGGCTCGTAAGCTGGACATATCGCAATATTCCATTAGGCAAATAGTGAAAGGAGAGCTCGGGGTAAAGCCATTGAAATTCCAAAAACTGCAAGAACTTACACCACAACGGAAAGAAAATAGACTCAAAAGTGTTAAAAAGTTGCTACGCTTGCCCGAAAGTGGTGAACTGCCGAATTTGGTTTTCTCCGATTAGAAAACATTCGTTGTCCAGCAGCTTGTACTTGTCAAAGAGGTCAGCTGAAAATGTGCACCTTTGGTTAGCTACCAGAACTCAAGCACCGGTCATGGTGATGTTGTGGGCCGCCATAACAGCCAATGGTCGCTCTCCGCTGGTAATAATCGACCCTGGCATCAGAATAAACGCCGAATTTTATTGCGAAAATATTCTGGAGGGTGTATTAAAGTCTTGGCACGCAAACATTTTGGCCGCATACCTTGGACATTCCAACAGGACTCAGCACCATCGCACTCATCACGCGCCACCCAAGAATGGTTACAAAATGAGGTTCCTCGCTTCATTTTCAGCGCACAATGACCACCAGAATCTCCGGATCTTGTGTCTGGAGTGTTTTGGAAAGTAAGGTTGGCACTAAAAAATACCAAAGTGTCGATCACCTCAAGCAAGCACTTCGCCGGGAATGGGTCAAAATACCGTAGAGCAACATTCGGGCAGCGTGTGACGGTTTCATTGGCCGTTTGAAGGCCATAATTCGTGCCAAAGGTGACCAATTCGACATTTCCGAGATTTTTTGCTTTCATTCAAAAAAAAAAAAAAAAAATAAAAAACAAAAAATTTAAAAATGATGCCATATGTCTTTGTTGCAGTTTTTTTATCTCACCCTGTATACTTCCTCCTAAATTCGAAAACATAGACAAAACCAGAAAGGCCAAATATATTTTTCAATTTGAACAACACAACGAAAATTTATTCTCAAATATTTAGTTCTATTCTCCATCTCTCAATTAGACCTCAATCTAATCTTAGGTATTTCATAGCTTGTCCACTTTGCAGCGGATATATTTCGCCAATGTTGTACATCAAATCAACAACATGGGTTGGACGAAGCATTCGCAATGGCGTCCACGTCAGGGTATTCACATCGCAGTGGATGTCCGGTTGCACTTCAATGGGCATTGATATCTCATTGTACAACGTGCGGCCGTCCACGCTTCGACATAGGGTGCAGGGTAAGCCGATTTGGTCAGCCAGGGCTTTGAAGAGCACCGATCTCTCAAATTGACAGCCAGTTTTAATCTGTCCCAAAGGAATAAAGTTGCAATGCAGCTCCTTGGCCAGCTCTTTGAGATGGCATTCCACCAAATGTTGAGAGCATTCTTCTGGGCCATTTAAATCAAGGGATGGTAAATTGTTTGACAATGCCTGAGCCACGATTTCGCTTATGATTTTTATTTTCGTGGTGAGACCAACAAAATCTAATTCTGACAAAAGCATCCCACATGATAGCCTCGGATTAATTTCACATTCTTGTAATCGCCCAAATAATTGTGTTAAAATTTGGGGCAATTTCGCATCACCCGGAGTTCGGCAGTAACACCACTCATCGGGATTGTTTTGTCCCTGGTACTCCTCCGGAGTCAAGCAATTCATCGGTATTCTTATAACACTCTGTTGCGGGGCTATTTCTCTCTGGAAATTCACCACCAGTATTGGCTGCAATGGGGACACCTCCTCCTTGAGAATGGTCTGGAATATGCGAAAATCGTCAAATGCTTTTTTTGAGACATAGAAATCGTGTGCTTCCGTGGAGTCGGTGAAACCCAGGTAATTGGCAATGCAAAACTTCAAGGTTGGTGTTTTGGAGAGAATACTCTCCTTGGCCGTATTCCAGTTGGGAACACAAAATGCATTTTCTGGTTGCCTCACAAGGCTGTGGTAGGGAAGAAAATTGTGTTTAATAAATACTAAAGTAAAGAATCGACATTGCTTACATTTCCAAAATACCATGATCTATATACTCGCAAAGAAATTCCCGAAACTGACAAGTTTGCATTATAAAATTGCAGGCAGCTGTTTTCACGGTATTCGACAGCGACTTGAGGCCTCTCTTGATGGACGCTCCAATGTGACAGTTCAGTAATATTTGGGGGTCATACCCCTCACTGGCAATTGTGGCCAAACAACGGAATATACTGCTAACCAAAATAGCTGAGGAGAACGAATTCTGGCAATGATTGAAAAATGTTTTCAATTTTAAGAAAAACAAAAGAAAAAAAAAAAGATGCCAAATTTTGAAAAAATTATAAATCACATGTAAAGCGAATTGAATTTACGGTCAAGTTTAAATTTTCTGCAAGGGAATAATTTTTTTTATCAAAATCAGGTTGGGAGCCCAAGTGGAAAATGTCGATCCACTTCTATTTGAATACATTATAGTTCTCCGAAAACAGAAACAGAGGTTTTCCCAAATTTTCCAGATATTGGATACAATATGGCGATATATAAGGAGTGTGACGGCGAAAATCCTTCGTCATTTTTGCCCACACAAAACACTATCTTATATTCCAATTGCCTAGCAAAATTCTTGCGAGCAACCACACTAAAGAGAGGTAAACCGTTATCGCAACAACACACAGCATCACTCATCACTACCATTGGCGGTGATGAGCACATGTGATGTTGTTGTGATAACCAAATTTTTCGTAAACAAGTTCCCGTTACTCCACTGCGAACACGTGGTGGAGCCGGGTATAAAAGGGCAGGCAATGGCAGAATCGGGGCAGTCAGCGACAGACCTTGAAAGTGAAAACATCGACCTCGGTAAGTAAACTAACATCTCATCGAAGCCTGGGCATCCTTGTGTATCCTGAGAATATCCCCACCCATTCTAACGACATCCTTGTGAGTTCATTCATTATCCTTGAATATCCTATAATGCTTGAGTACTTATTAAGGTCTCTTGCAATCGTATCCTAGATCCTTTTAGTGCTTGAGTACTTATTAAGGTCTCTTGCAAACGTATCCTAGATCCTTGTAGTGCTTGAGTACTTATTAAGGTCTCTTGCAATCATATCCTTGAATATCCTGTAGTGCTTGGGTACTTATTAAGGTCTCTTGCAAACGTATCCTAGATCCTTGTAGTGCTTGAGTACTTATTAAGGTCTCTTGCAATCATATCCTTGAATATCCTGTAGTGCTTGAGTACTTATTAAGGTCTCTTGCAATCATATCCTTGAATATCCTGCAGTGCTTGAGTACTTATTAAGGTCTCTTGCAATCATATCCTTGAATATCCTGTAGGGCTTGAGTACTTATTAAGGTCTCTTGCAATCATATCCTTGAATATCCTGTAGTGCTTGAGTACTTATTAAGGTCTCTTGCAATCATATCCTTGAATATCCTGTAGTGCTTGAGTACTTATTAAGGTCTCTTGCAAACGTATCCTAGATCCTTGTAGTGCCTGAGTACTTATTAAGGTCTCTTGCAATCATATCCTTGAATAGCCTGTAGTGCTTGGGTACTTATTAAGGTCTCTTGCAAACTTATCCTATATCCTTGTAGTGGAAGATCTCCTGCAGCCGTATCCTTGAATATCCCGTAGTCTGCTTGAGTACTTACCCAGGTCTCTCGCAGAGAATCCATCCCGAATCCTGAACACCCTGTTCCTGTATCCTTGTCCTGTTCCTTGAGTACTTATCCAGGTCTCGAGTGGAAGAACCCCCAATCCCGGACCGAAGACGAGTAGGATAATTATTTTAATCTATAGTTATATATAGTTCAAATTTCATTTACAATAAAACATAATAATATTAAAACGTAAACCACTGTCTTTCTCTTCCTGTCTCAAAAATAAAATATCTGTACGAACCCCTGGACCCCGACGAGCTATTCTAGCCAAAGGGGAGAAATCCTGTCGTTACATGAGGTATACGGGCACGTCTATGGACAATCTTGTACCTCAAGGATTGTCATCTACCAAATCTTCTTAAATACTAAATTTGAAACAATTTCATGGTTAAATGCGACTGGGATTATAAAAATACCGAGTATCGGTGGGTATCGTTCAATGTTCTGCCACCGGAGCTAGAACCCATTTTGACCTAAAATTACCAATTTTCATCAAAATATCGAATATCGGAAGGTACCGTCAAATGGGGCGATACCAAAACGTGGACCTATGCAAACATTGTTTTGCCATACGAGCTAGAACCCATTATGATCTCCAAATATCAGTTTTTAGACCAATCCGTAGAAAAATGTCCCAAAAATCATCAAAATACCGAGTATCGGAAGGTACCATTATATGGCGGCTATACCAACCAATCATCCTAGACACCATACAAATTGTTCTGCGAAGCTCTACGTCAAATAATATGGGCTGTATCGTGATTTCAACAGACAGACGGACATCGTTAAATTGACTTGGAGTTTTCTGTTGATCAAGAATACATATACACTTTATGGGGTCTACGACGAATATTTAGGGATGTTACAAATGGAATGACCCTTCTTTTAAAGGCGGATAACTACATACACAATTATTTCCAAAGAGGTCGCCAGATATCACTGCTGAGTTTCTTTACTAAACGGAGTGGAACGATATTGTCCATTTTTCCACCTCCCCTTGCAGCAATACAAATATTGGGATTTGCAAAGTTTAGACCTTCCAGGGCGATGGGTACCAGGAGAAATAGACCCATATTGCCCTTCTCCGAACTCGATGCAGATGGAAAGACAGACAGACGAACGGACACCATTAGATCGACTCTATATGTCCAGAAACGGATCTGAACCCGTTATTGCGATGACTTACATCCTCCATATCATATAGCCATATGGCAAATGTTCCTATGTACTTTCAGACTCAATTGATATACCACTCGGCATCTCCACTTACCGTCAGCAGCACGGCTATATTTCTTATCAAATCGGAACTTTCCAACGGACAGAAGGACTGACTTGTGTCCTTCGCCAATATCTCGACGAGTTTCAATAAATTCAAAAGTAAATCAGTCGATAGTTGTATTGAATTCTGTGCAAATATCATTGCCAAAGTTTCCATTACTTGTGTCCGATGAAGTTGATCACTAGTTTCCACAAAAGCGAACTTCAATAATTTCAGTAATAAATTTAATGCCTCCTCTCGCATCTCTATGTTGACATCCACATTGATTAGGATTCCTGCAAAACAATAACTCAATGAAGTAAAGTTCAAAATTTTCCTCACCAACCTAATATCGTTGTAACAGCCCTAGATTGTTCGGTGCTATATCGTTCCAGTTCCAAAATTTGACATGCAGCTCTCCTGTGCGTTATCAAGCGATGCAGGCCCTTCAAAATATGGACAGAAGGCATGCTACGCTCGTCAACTAGACAATCCTTCAGCTTGTACAAGATGCCAGATTCCGCTAAAGCTGTCTCATATTGAGAAAATTTGGCAATTTCGCAAAGGACTTTTAAGGGTTGGCAGGAGTGCTCAAAATAAAAGTCGTCGAGCGCCAGAACCGACATAAACTGCTCAAATAAATTGTGTAGAAAAAATACATCTACCATTGCCTTGTTCCGCATGGCCGATGAAAGGACATCCACGACGTGTTGAGTTTCCGATATCTCTCGATTCGCACAAAACATTTCCGTCAATTCTCTCAAAAGGGAAATCTGAAGCGAGTCGGAAAAAAGTGATCCACTTTCCGAGTTCGCATTGCCCAGGAGAATTGCTAACAAGTTAAGTGTGGTCCTGCGTATGTCCATAAAGTCTGAAGCTAAATGGCAAATAATTCGTTGGATGGGAAACTGCCTTTGAACGAAAAAGTTTTGAATCCCATTAGCATCGAGGACTCTCAAAATTCGCTCCACTAATTTCATTGAATTGAGAATCACATCAGGATTGTTGGAAATGGACAACTGGTGCAACAATTTGTCTAGGCATTCCGTGTCCTGCGATAATGTCTCGCTCATTCTCGGATCATCCGAAAAATTGCAAAGGATAACAAGCAGATATTCCAAACAAAGATCATCCTCTTCGCAACGATATTGGAGCTGGACAGCTTTTACCAGTTTCCAGCTTTGCTCCTGATCCAAATCAACTAACCTATTCATGTTTTCCAAGATATGATTGGCCAGATATAATGAAAACCTCCGAATAATGGCATTGACGGAATCGCGATAAAATCCTTTGCCACTCAGCAAATCCAAGACTTTGTGCCGTTTTAATAGCTCCACATTGTCATCACCTTTCCTCACATATTCCGTGAGATGCTTGAGAACATTTACCAAAATCACTTCCTCTTCGGAATTTAATAGCAGCAGAATGCTTTCGATACGCTCCAAGCGGATCGTTAATTCTGGAAATTCCACAACTTCGTTCATTTTTCGGTCAACAAAATCATTCGGAGACGGGTTTATTAGCTTTTTGCCACGGCTTGACATGACGAGTCTTTCCTTGAATCAACTACAAACAAATTATCAGAAATTTATTTCCATTATTTGATTTTGACAAAAAAAAAAAAAAAAAGACAAACCTGTGAGGATTACAGTTCGCAACACAAAGTAAAATAATTTCAGTAGATTATGAAAGTAGAACTGAATCGACGCTTTGAAAATTAACACCTATATAGAGGGGCTAATATCTCCTCTGCTCTCTTCCAGTACCACCAAGAATCTACTTTTTTTTGCAATTTTCTCCGTTGTCATGAAGCGATTATCGGTTATCGTAGTAACACTTTTGAATTCTTGCAGTTCTGGAACGGAACAATCTTTTTCCATTCTTCTTTTTTATAGCCTCCACCATACTATGGAGGGTATATTAACTTTGTCATGTAAGACCCATCAAGGTATATATATTCTTGATCAGCGTAAAATTCTATGTCGATTTAGCGATGTCCGTCTGTCTGTTGTAATCACGCTGTCTTTCAAACGAATCGAGATAGAAGGCTAAAATTTTGCTGACATATTAATTTTGCCAGTAGGCAGGCTAAGTTCGTAAATGGGCTATGTAGGTCCACGTTTTCATATAGCCCCCATATAACGGTACCTCCCGATATTCGGCATTTTGATGATTTTGGCGACATTATTCACCGGAATTGGTATTTTAAAAATCTGAGACAGAAAATTATCTGTGCAGGTCTACGTCTTCGTATAGCCCCCATATAACGGTACCTCCCGATATTCGGTATTTTGATGATTTTAGCGACATTATTATTAACCGGAAATGTTTCAAATTTGGTATTTGAAGTTCGTAATAGATACTACAGCCTGAGACAGGAAATTATCTGTACAGGTCTACGTCTTCGTATAGCCCCCATATAACGGTACCTCCTGATATTCGGTATTTTGGTGATTTTAGCGACCTTTTCCACCGGAATTGTTTCATATTTGGTATTTGTAGTTCGTAATGAATACTACAGCCTATGACAGGAAGTTTCCTATGCAGGTCTAGGTCTTCGTATAGGCCCCATACAACTGTACGTCCTTATATTCGGTATTTTGACGATTTTAGGTACAATACTCACCGAAATTGTTTGAGATGTCGTGTTTGAAGTTCGTAATGGATGCTACAGGCTTTAACAGAAAAATATCTATGTATAGGTCCAGGTCTTCGTATAGGTTCGATGTAACGGTACCTCCCTATGTACGCTATTTTGATGATACATTATTCACCGTTTATTTCAAGTTTCGAATTTGAATATGGTAATGGCTCATGACAACAATACCTATGTAGGTCCACGTCGTATAGACCCCGATATAACGGCTATATCCGGTATTTTTAAGATTTTAACAGAATTTTTAACGGATTCTATTTTTAAAAGATTCCAAATTCGTTCACATGGTGGAGGGAATTCAAAGTTCGGTCCGGCCGAACTTACTGCTTTTTAACTTGTTAATTTTTCAGATTAAAATTTATTGAAATTACTGAATTTTAGGGATATATAGTTGTCGGAAATATCACAGATAATAATACACAGCTTATTAGCACTCCAGAAGGAGTGGTTCAAAGGTCAACATTTTCAAAGAAAAAAATGTATCACATAGAGTAAGAAAAGACGATTCGATTTTGTGCAAACTTTGCAAATCCTTAGATGGTTGGCAGTTCAAAATGTTAACCCTTTGTGTGGGAGGTACCAGATCTACCATCTTTATAACACATATTGTAGTAATGGAAACATGAGCTTCATGCGTATTCAAAATGATGACCCTTTGTGGCGGGGGGTGTGGTGTTGGTTTTACAGGAGGAGTGGACCGATATATTCCATCTCCACACCAGACCTTGGATGAATAAAACTATTGTGATGTGCGCAATTTGAAGACTATCGGAACCTTACACCACATTTTATAAGAGTTATAATTATTCCAAAATTTGATCGTTTGTGGGTGAAGTACTTGACGGAGTGGACCGTAAATTATTTTCTTTGAAAATGTTGACATTTTGTGGGGGAGGGACGGATATTGCCCATCTCTGAAATCTTTTTCCATGAAATTATTTGTGTGTGTTTTTTTTTTTTGTAATTTGTGAAAAATGCTTCATCTTCAAATGCTTAGTTCCGTTTCCGGTTTCAATGGTTTTTCGAATTTCGTAAAGTGTAGCATTGCCAACATAAGATATTATAACGAAGTGCAAATGGTTCTTGTCAATTTTTGGGTTTCTTACTTCGAAAACAAATGGTTCTTGACTTTGCTAAAATTAGTCCTTTTTTCCCTTTCCACCTCCTGCTTCTACTTTTCCTGCTGGCAACACTTTCCAATATCTAAAGTAAAACAAATGCGCATGTCCTTCCTTGTCGATGTCCTTTTCACTGACATTTACATTTCAGAATGTCTTCCTTTGGCGTAGATTTGTAGCGTTTTCAGTTAAGAAAAAAAACCTAAAAAAATAGTGAAAAGTTAGAAAAGTTATTGCAATTTTCGGTTGTTTTGAGTTATATTTTTCTAGATTTAAGATGCTCACCTACCACACGGCTCTACAGATTCTATGGATATCATTTAGTTTTAATCAATATACCAGTAAGTAGTCCTTCCTTGGCTCCATTCGGGAGCAATGTACTGTTCCACCCCCGCCCTTGTTGCTTTACGTGTAGTGCGTGTGTGTGTCTTGTTTGTTAATTTGTTTTGTGTGTGTATTCTTACTCTGGCGACGACAATGACGATATTGACGATGATGATGATGATGATTGTGCTGGTGGTGGTGTTATTGGCAACAGTGGCAGGACAATCCTTAACCACTGCTATACACCGTACCCAAGCTGCCCAGGAACGTATAAATGACTTGAAGTGCTACAAGTGCGACACCATGGACGATGGCGAACTCTGTGTGGATGTTGTCAATTCGAATGCCACCAACTTCGTGCACAAATGTGAGGGCGATGAGTTCATTTGCATGGTAAGGATTGGATTTTCGTTTTCTGGAGGGTTGGGCTAATCCTTTCTTCCTCTTTTTTTTCAGGTCAAACGTTTCTCCTATACCACCTCCAATGAAAATTCCACCAGCTCCCCCAAGATGTGGTCCCTGGATCGCCGTTGTGCGGTCAACTGTGAACCCGGTTGTATAGTCATAGGTGAGCGTACCAAGTTGTACGCCTGTACATCGTGTTGCGAATCACCCATGTGTAATACCGGCAAAGGTTCCGCTGCGTCCGTTCTCGCCTTTGGTCGCATTGAGACGGGCATTGGAACGTCGTTGAGTCTTCTGACATTGGTCAAATGTTTCCTCCATTACATATCGTAAAGGGTTTACATAGCCAATTGTTGTTGTACTCCAAGAGAATAGAGAAAAACCCAAAATTCCAAAAAAAAGAAGAGGACCAGTGCCAAGTTCATGTCTATTTTTTTCGACACGATTTTATTTTTCGAAAGAGAAAACAAAAACAATACAAAACCGAAAGCAAATCTCTTAGAATTTATTAAAGACTTCCTTTATGTAGTTGTTCAAGAAATTATTTAAATAAAATAGTTGTACAATTTAAATATTTACACAAACAAACACATGCAACAGGCTCTTATGCATTTGGAACGGTTTAATGGCAAGGGCTAGCTGGCCCGTACAAAAGCTTTGTTCGTGTATGTTCCGCAGACATGAAAATCGGGAGAGTAACTATCCTTCTCATGGCATCAATCAACCGGACCTCCTACTTCCGGTGGTGAGTTTTCTGATCGATGGTGAGTTTTAAACACAGAAATATGATTGTGTGTAAGGTGTGGTGAATTGCCCATGGGCCAGCGCTGGTTAAACCTCTATTTATACCCTACACCACAAGGTGGTCAGGGTATTATGTCTTTGTGCATATGTTTGTAACAGGCAAAAGGAAACGAGATAGACCCATAGTTCCTTTTGATGATCTGCATAGAATCACATTCTGAGTCGATTAATGCATGTCCCCCCGTCCGTCTGTCCATGTATTTTTGTAAACAAAGTACAGTTCGCAATTTATTGCCATATCCTGATGAAATTTTGCATAAATCATTTGCTTGGCCCAAGGACGAACCCTATTCAAATTGGAGATAATCGGTAAAAATTTAGATATAGCTCCCATATATATCTTCGTCCGATTTGCTTTTTATTGTGCACCAAACGTCTTATATCAGTTCGAATAGTATGGCATTTTGCACGCACAATCAGATTGGACCTGAAAATAAGTATGCAAATTTGATCGAAATCGGTTCAGATATAGCTATAGCTCCCATACATATTGTTCATCCGATTTGTTATTTTTGTCCTCCGCAGCCGTAATATGCACTCTGTAACAACAATATTTGGGGAAATATATCAAATACAGCTCGGAAATACATTTTCTAAATTTTATCGAGATCGGTTCAGATTTGGATATAGCTCCCATATATAACTTCGTCCGATTTACCATTTATTGTCCACCAAACGTCTAATATTTGCCCAAATGGGATGAAATTTGGCACTTACGACCGAATTGAGTCTAGAAGCTAGTATGTCAAATTTGCTGAAGATCGGTTCAAATATAGCTATAGCTCCCATATATATTGTTCATCCGATTTGTCATATTTGTTACCCACAGCCCTAATACTCAGAGAAATATATCAAATACAGCTCAGAAATATCTTTGCCAAATTTTATCAAGATCGGTTAAGATTCGGATATAGCTCCCATATATATCAAATGGGCAATACAAGTCTGAATTTAAAAGATACAAATGCTTCGGCATATTTAGTCTTTTGAACTTTAAATTATAATTATAAGCATAGCGTGTACGATTGAATTCTCCCATAAAAACTTTTAATTGTTATGCGTAGCTCTACTAAATTAGGAAAGTGGTGTAGTCCATCATAAAGTCGGCAACGCCCGACTTTAAGACTTTCTTTACTGGTTTTTTCTCAAAATTTACAAGCAATGAACATGTCCGCTACAAAAACCACAGCCATACTGTTTCTTACATGGAGGGTTGAAATGATGGATCGCCGCCAGGCAGCATACTGGTAACTATTGCTCCGTTCCAGAATCTGCATAAAGGAGAAATCGGTTATCGTAATAAAAACTTTTACATTCTTGCAGTTCTAGAGATTTCAAAATATTTGACAGGTTATTATAACGTAATTGCGAACAAATGAGGATTAAAAACAGAGCCCCTTATTGGCCAACAGACAGAAATTTTGGCGCGTAGAGGAAAACATTTTAAGCCTCTTTGTATAATCTGGCCTATGGTAGACTATACAACCGAGTGTGGCAAGGGGATGTAAGAGCTATAAAAGAGAATTTCAATCACACCACCAGAGCGCGGCTAACAGGTTGCATCCAGCTTTACTCATTTACCTCACTCACATAAGATGAGTTTCAAACCTATATATGGCAACTTGGAACGGGATCTAGGATAGGTTATAAATATTACGATGCACAAATTGTAGGTCCTGGATCGTGTTTGAAATTTATTTGTTTTCTTTTTATATGACTTCAGAGGGTATATAATTTGATACGACTAAAGCAGATATTTTTAGGTATCTTTGGACGAAATCCGTTTCAGGGCATTAGAGGCGTCTGTCCGTCTGCTTGGCTGGTGTGTACTCTTGAGGGGAGTATCCGATGGGGATTATATTTGGTATATCGTAATATTACTAGCAAACTTAGGTCGCGTTCGGAGATGGGCAATATCGAGTAATGTGGTTTTCACCTCGGCTAAGGTAAGCTCAGCTGTATCCAGGGTCTCCATTCGGATCCACTTAACCATATGAAATATGATGGATAGATTTCTCCCCTAGGTGTAAATCAGATATTTTTTCGATTCAAATACTAAATTACAATCTAACCATATACGATAATCGCATACGATTGATTGATTGAATTTGGAATATAGAATGGCGAATTGCGACTTCATAGGTGGTCGGGAATTCGAAGAGGACTTATTTAGTTAATTATCGGGAGTTCGACGTTTACAATGTCTCCTACGTAAGAGGGTGAACGACTGATTGATGTGAAGTATGGTTAGCGGACTGTTCGAAGGGGATAGGGTGTCCGTGGGTGTTGAAAATTGAGGAAGGTCAGGATTTACCATGTTTGTGTTCGGCTGACGCTGGCGTTCTGGGTGTTTCCGATTTGAAGGTAGACGTGAACTTGTAGATGGTCGCCACATGATTGATGGTGCTGAAGATGTTGACGATTTGGAGGTAACCGGGCAAATATGGTAGTCAGTTTTCGACAGTTTGCATAAAATCAATAATTACGCTGTTTGTGTTCGCAGCGACGTCGGTGGGATGTTGACGATTTAAAGGTAATAGGAAACTCATTGTCGTTGGTTGTCTACGGGTTAAATGATTCAATCACGAATTACGATGTCTGTGGTTGGGTTGTTTGATGTCCAGGTCTTCGGAGATGGATAGGAGGATTCGTGGTAAAATCATTAGGGAATGACAGTTCACTCTAGAGATACTCGGGAGCATCAGTCTAGGTCTTCTAAGATGTTTGTGGCTTCATTGGGGATCTGTAGCTTATTGTGGATATCATCGGGAGTCGACGCCTATGCCTTTGCAGAGAGATCGGTTTCCGATCGAGTTCGGCAGCTCACAGGTGATATGTTTGCGGGCGAATGTCCTGGCCTTTGCGGATGGATCGGAACTCGTTTGGATTCGGCAGCTCACTGTGGGTATGTTCGGGTTTAGCTACTTGGGTCTTCTAGCAGGCACTGCGTTTTCTGACTACCTGGAATTCACAGCTAATGTTTGAGCTATGATAAGGTACAACGAGCCGAAGGTACAACTTGTAGAACGACGAAGCTCTATGTAATTCCTGCGAGCCGAAGCTCTTGTATAACGACGAAGCTCTATGTAATTCCTGCGAACCGAAATTCATCCAAAACAATGGGCCGAGGTCTCTGTGTAAATGAATTATTGGCCCCTTAACATAATGAGAGCCAGTCTAGAAAAAATGTATTTCCGGGTAACGTATTTTTTAGTCGGAGGACACAACATGATTCAGAAAATTACTAACTAACCTTTGGGAAGACCCCGGCAAACCTTGTATGTGAGCGGTATTACCAAGTAAATGAGAATTATTTGCCCTATGCGGTAATGGGCATCTTGCCGAAAGCTGAATTGTCCATTTCGCGCCCAACGAATACTAGGATGGTTGGTTGACACTGATATCATTGCTATCGTCGCATGTTCTTGTGGCCTTGCCGTTGTTGTTGTTACTATTGATACAATGGGTGTGGTTGTATCTTCTGACTAAGGTATTTGATGAAATCTTCACTTTACAATCCACTTCACTCCTTCCGGTACCTTTCCCAGAAAAGGTCAACATTTTCACTAAAAATAATTAACCTCATGGAAAAAGAAAGGGTCATCCGATTTGGTTCCTATTATTTGTCTCAGTCTAGATCAGGTACGAAAATAGAAATGGCCCACACAATCAAGTACCTCGCTTAAAAACGCTCAAAATTTTGAATAACCTTACTTCTTAGGAAATGTAAAATATAAGTGCGATTTTCGTCAAAATACCAAAATTTCTATTAACACATGATCTGGGGTAAAGATGGGATATAGCGGACCACTCCTTCTTGTCCCTCCCACACAAAGAGTCAATATTTCGAATAACCATAATGCTCATAAAAAGAGTTTGTTTAACTTGTCACATCTTAATATTTTTCCCAACACTAGATCTTGTGTTGGTGTGAAGATCGGATATATCGCTCCATGCTTCTGGTACCTCCACCACAAATGGTCAAACTTTTTAATAATTATAACCCTCATAGCATGCGAACCAAATCAGCGATTTTCTTTGAACTTCGTGTATACCAATATATTTTTTTTTTTCAAACCTAGAGATACGGAGTATATTGGCCCTCACCTTCTGATACCTCCACCACAACTGGTCAAACATTTGAAGTAATTCTATCTCTAAATATTCTCGAATCTAAATCTACAATCTAACCTCAGATTGAAATATTTCCAATTTATTTCCAAAATAGAATTGGCTTAACATTTTACATCCATCCACAATGTAGCTACCTATACTCGTGGGTATGTACATATGTGTGTCATGGAATATATATTTTTCAAAATTATTCAACAAATGCGGATGATGACAAAATCGTTATTTCGGTTATTAGTGGCATTGCTGTTGCTGTTGTTGTTGTTGTCGTCGTCATCGTTATTGTAACAGAGATTTTGGCCAACGAGAAATGGAAGTGGGAAAAATCAAATCCCAACCAGAAAATTGATGAAAAACTGTTAATTTTCGAATCAAAGCGAATTTGTAAAACAAACCATGGAATCAACCAACCAACCATGGAATACACACACATACGCTCACACACACACACACGCGCTCACTCACAAAGACAAATGAACAATCTGAACCCCAATGCTAAACCTCTGTAGCCATGTTGTTGCATTTTCTATTTGTTATTTGTGTGTAGGTATGTGTGTGT